CTGGACAGCTGTGTGCCCTGTGAATTCCAAGGTATGAAGTATACAATTTATCTAATGCGTCATTTGGTGAACAGATTTAACTTTTGGTTGTTTGGTGAACCGTTTACAGTTTAAGAGATGATCTCGATGTAACTCTTGGTCTTATCAAAATAATCATTTCGCCAGTGTTTGCCTGAGTTTCTTCTTTTATGTTGTGATGAGTGATGACTTTATTCGATCAATAAAGGCCGTCAACGACTAGACAAAAATGGAAATCACCCCGTAAAAAATGGAAATCACGAGATCGCCATTTCGTTTTCATAAGTGCAAGGCTCGCTGGGAATCATTGGGCAGATTTTTCTAACCTTTCTACATCACCCATGATGAGATATAGCCAGAAGGAAGATCGTGGGATTCCCGCAAACCAAGTGCCCCAACTTGAGCATCGTTGTTATCGTACCAAACGATCAACTTGTCCGTTGTTTAGTTGCTTCGTGGATTGTCACACTATCACGAGTGCGATCCATAAGAAAGTGGACGATGACCACCGTCTAAATTAACTAAGACGACCGTTTGCTGTGGGTCTCGGTTTTACAGCGCCGGGTAATGGAGAGTCTCCACCAGCTTAAGTTAATCCGTGATTTCCGTGGCATCATACATCAGCTTCATGACGTGAGCCCCTAATCAGGGGTTAAAAGGTAAAATGAATATATAATGACATAGTACATGAATGTGACAATTTTCTAGTACCCTTTTTCTGCGAGTGGATGGGTGGGTGTACATTTTTGCAGTGTCCTTAGTAGTGCCGGCACTAACTACTGTGCTCTATTATTTACACTTTGGAAGGACTACTCGTGTAACACGCAGTTGGTGGTGAGATGAGCTTGTGTCGGTGGCTTGCTTCCCGTGATGTCTTGTCGTAGAGAACTCGCACATTGCAGACGACCGTGTGTGAGAGGGTTTAGCCAAGCCTGCGCGTGAATCTAGCAGGTAACTGTCGTCCTACATAGCGTGTTGATCAGATACCCAAACGGATGTCGATCAGGGTACGTTTCCCTGACGTTTGCTTCGAGATATTTTTCCTTCTAGTAGATGTGTTCAAGGTCTCGGAAAAATCTGTTGACACACACACACATATCTTTTCCCGCCAAAAAACGCACGCACATATCTTGGCGTACCACCCCACTAGATGATGACTAGATTGACAGTCCTCGGTGCACTCGAATCGGTCGGATCAGACCCCGAGTCAAGCTACCATCGGGGGATCTCCAACAACGCCGGTAAACGTCGGCACAGACGCGTCCAAGACCATTCCTGTCATCTGTCACAGTATTGCATATATTGATGGACACATCCGCACATCTAAATTTATGCAACCGAAAGCAAAGTTTGTGCGAGGTCCGGGGAAAGAAGAGGGAGGAGAAGGAGAAACGAGAAGTTTAAAAAAAAGAAGGAGAGAAGGGCAACGACCAAGATGATGGAGAAATTCGATGACATCATGGTGAAGAAGGAGGAGGCGTGTGTCAAACGCAATAGCATCAAGGAGAAAAAGAAAACAGGGACGTTTGACATCTTCGTGACGGCGACAGAGAAAAAGATCATCCTCGAAGAGAAGAAGACCAAACTCAAAAAGAACAAGACCAAGTGTGAAGAGGTGATGTGGAGTACGAAAATGGATGAGTTGGATTCCAATGCGGTGAAGATTATTCCAGCCATTCGTGCAAAAATGTTGAAAGCGGTTGACGGCAAAGATGAAGGACGCAGAGGCTGTAGAGGAGCCGGCGATAGAGTGATGAGCGAGGAGGCAAAGACAGCCGGTCTGCACGGCAAGATTAATGTTATTTTGCGAGTACCGCCGGACCGAAATGTTTATAATTAGGCGCATATAAAAACTTATGAACGTGCAACTCACGTATTGGTTGTAAAGATTACATCCACGTGCACATTTATTTGCTTATCAAATTATCATAGTTGAATGTCCGGCTCCTGCATTTATGTCTGCGTTGCGTCCGCGTCCAAATGTGTCCGAATGTGCCCACGGACGAATGGCCGTTGGAGATGCCCTGAGACCCATCACGACGCACGTTGCCTTGCACTGTTGCGGCATCTTTGAACATTCAACATCTAGCAAAGGAACAGCAGTGAGCAGTGAGCAGAGCCCCCGCTGGCCTGACCCTTTCCCCCATTGTGAGGCAGACCAACACGAGCCGATGATCGACTCGATCGCCGTACAAGGTTACCCGTGCATCGCCACGCAATTTCATTTGGTCGCGGTGGTTTACACCTATAGTGGTCAGTGCACCTACACCAGTACAAATGCACTACTATAGCTACTCTTGCGAGCAGGATGGGTGGTGGAGTGGGTCACCGACACGTCATCTCGAAGAAGAGAAGTCCCTTTCCATCTCTCCCGACCAGCGGCATCTTGTCGGCAGCGTTCGTTT